ATACAGAATTTTATATCAGTACGTAATAGTTAAGTTAAACTTTTTAACTGATTATTTCAAGCAATACAAGTACACATATGCGCACACACGCACACGTACAATGTCCGCTCTTTGTTTTTTAAAATACCTTGTGGATATGCTTTGAAATCACACAACATATTTTCCAAAACTTAATTGATTTATTTTTAACATTTTTGGATAACAGGTACTCATTTTTTTATTAGACATTTTTGTTGTAGGTCCTGTTTGTGCGGGTGTTGTAGGTAGGAAAATGCCACGTTATTGCTTGTTTGGTGATACGGTTAACACCGCAAGTAGAATGGAATCAAATGGAGAAGGTATCATCTTTATCTATTACTATATTTTCCTATTTAAAGCAAGATGCCCCAATATGGTAAACTGGGATAAGATTTCAAATAATTACTTACCTCTTTATTCGCCGAAAAAGTTGAAAAAATCTTCTGTAATACGTTTCATTTTCTGTTAATAAGGTAGTCGCCGAAATAAAAAGAAAAAAAATAATCAATTCAACATGGTTATATGCCCGCACGAGATCCGGGATCGTGTTTTAAAGTTAGTCAGTATCATCTTTATCTATTTCTATATTTTCCTATTTTAAGCACATGCCCCATTATGATAAACTGGGATAAGGTTTCAAATAATTACTTACCTCTTTATTCAGACACGGAAAACAGTTAAGAAAATATTCTGTAAAACACGTGTTTTCTTTTAATAACGCACACGCCGCTATAAAAAGGAAAAAATAATTCATTCAACATGGTTATATGCCCGCACGAGATCCGGGATCGTGTTTTAAAGTAAGTCAGTATACAGCATTATATATATTTCAAGCTTGTCATTATATTTGATATTATATTGTGATTAATTAATCATAACTTTTTCGTGCCACATGTCACGACAAATAGTATCTTTGTGTCCCATAACGTTTGATATTATCCCGGAAATAGTGTTTCCCGTATCACAGGTCCCGTTATTGTCCACTTCCATCACGTGGTACTAGAAATAAAATGGACTTAATTCCGAAGTATCATAACATGAAGGTATATCTCGATTGTTGGGAAGCGGACTTTCTGTTTTCGAAGCAGACAAGTCAAAATATATATGTTTCAAGCAATAATTTGATCTCTTTAGACTATTTAAAGCTTTTGAAAGGAGTTTTTGCATTATTAGAACAACGGTGGATTTTGTGTTATCTTCTGAGGGCATGTTGCTTTAAAATGTATTTTGTACCATGGGAGGTACACGTTAACAGTTTTGATTGGGTTAATAATGTTAATATCTCTATCTTAAATCAATCAATTCATATAACTGGTGTAGAAAATATCAACATCATAAAACGATTGTACTCTAGTGTCAAAAGGTCAAAGCAACGAAAAAGAAATTAAATACAAACCAAGAAAGAGAAAAAAAAACATATGACAGAATTAATGAAAATGCCAAAAAAAAAAAATACAAAATTAATAAATAAAATATTAAATGAATTAAATAAATAAATTAATTAAAAAATAAACAACATCAAATGATCAATGTTTGCGCTATATATGATTGTTTGCTATGTCATTTAAAAACTATTTGAAATGGTCTTTTACAGAAAATCATGACAAACGTAAGCTATTTCTTTGATAACTACAACTATCTATTTTTAGCAATGAAAATTCATATCAGTGAACAGACAAAGCAGTTGCTAGAGGAAGATGTCAACTTTATCATTGAAGAAAGGGGTATAATTGATATCAAGGTTTGTTGAGAGAAAATTGTATTGATACGTTTCAATTAATGTAAGCGTTTTATCAGTTAGCCTGGTGACGTCCCCTTGTGGCTTAGGAGTCGCCTTTGAGGGTTGAGGCATCCGAAATGCAGCCACAGTTTATCCATGCGTGATCGTAAAAGGCCACTAAATATGTCTGAATTACTGGAGTCTGTGCATCTCCTACCTCCAGCAGGCGAGGTGGTTTTGACCCCTAGTGTTGCTTTAAGTTTGTAACATCCGACGTTAAGAAAAAAAAATCATCTTTCCTGTTTCGGTGCCATATGACCTAAACAAACAGCCTGGTGGCAGCAAGATATACTGAATATACTTATGCGACCAATGCAGACCAAGATCCATCGGCATGGTTCCTATAAATAGAATATTCAATGAATTTACAATACGTTAGAACGCAAGAATGTTTTGTTTGTGTAGATTTAAGGAAGGACAAATACAATTAATACATGTATCGGAGTAGTGTCATAGGGAAAAGTTTAAGTGTCTGACCCCGACAAAGTCTTGCGAGATCTTGAACCTCACACTCGAGTATAATTATATTTATTTATAGAAAGGAAATAGAATATTGGTTCTGTATTATTTGTATTTGATTGTTTTTCTTTTCAGGGAAAAGGGCCAACGCACACATTTTGGCTGATTGATGAACTATCGAACAATTCTGTTGGCTCTCTAAAGTAGAGAAGAAGACAGCGAAATGTATTATTAGAAAATTTATAAAAGCATTATTTAACATAATTATGATGACAAGGAATTTATAGATACAATGATTTGAATACTGACTGTGAACATATTGATGTTGAATAGTAAAAATGATAGTGCTAAAACCAGTCACATGTTTGAGTTACATTCACACTTTGTTCTGATGTACTTTTCAAGACTGTAATAATTACTTTTTTGTGTATTGATAAGATATTTTTTCTTATCAAAATGTTAGATTCCTTATCATTGTAGTTAGACTGTCCCTGTAATCAAAATTGCATAAATTTAAGTGAGTAATTGAAGATTAAAGCGTTTATTAGTTGACAAAAATACCAGAAAGAATATCTGTAATGATGAAAACTTAAAAGAAAAGTCTGCTTTCAGTGTGTAGTCAAAATGGATTCAGAAAGCATGTTTTGCCTGTTCTCAATAGGTAACCTGTCAATATTATATTTTGTTATTCATTAAGCAAAAAACTGTACGCTTGACTGAGATGCCTTGTTGTATATAACTATAGCATGTCAAAAGAAACAGTTTGACTTACCATGAAAATGACTATAACAATAAATAAAAGCAATGAAAATATCCAATTTTTATTGACAAAGATAAAAGTTGAAAACAATACATGGTCTTGAATTATAGAAGAGAAATCATAACTAAGTAGATATGTTCTCAAGTTTTATAACAGAAGCAGATGTACATATTCGACTCCGCTCTCAATGTTCAAGTCAGACTCTCGTATTAATTTTCCAATAGACTTACAATATGAAAAATGGTCGCTAATCCTCCCTTTAAATTGAGTTTTCGTGCTAAAGAGGGGATATTTCTAGGAGAATGGAATGCCTGACTTACAAGTCCTCAAAGACAATCGTCTACACAAAGAAATGATCTTGTTATATAGGGGTAGCCAACCATTTTATTTTTGCAAAATGACTTCAAAGAGGATTATCCCCCTTTTCATTTCAATTTTTACTGATAACAGGACTGACATACACTTTTATAAATGCATATATCTAAGTCACACTTTATCATAGATTCTTATGAAAAATTGAAATTGTATTTTCTTATAAAAAATAAAGTTTTAGTTTCTTAACTAGTTTATATATTCAAAAACAACCATTTTTTCCCAATCACCTCATATCCGACTGAATATTTCGGTTTGTTTTTCAGCCAATCAGTGGCCACGTTATAATACGATTATCTGACCTTCACTTTAAAACTTAAACTTGAAGCAGTCTAACGTTTGTTTCAAGTGTAATAGATTCATATTTACACCACACTTTCATTCAATTAAATTTCTTTATCATTAAAGGTCAAGGTAGAACTCAGATTAGATCTTCATTAACAATTGGTAAGCTATCAAATGAGTTTCAACAGGCCACGAATTATTACGTATATATCATAATGATATGACATTTCATTCGTGAACTTGCTACATAAATTCAATTCTGCTCATTATTAATTGTTAATTGTTATCACATGTTTGATAAACAGTAATATGACAGTCAAATTTAATACATTATCAAACATTTATCATAAATGTAAGTATATAAAAAGATACGTCTTTGTTTCACGAGATATGATTTTAATTGTTGTTTTTTTTTGTAAAATGCGGTAATCAATAATTTCCCAAAAATTGAGATCCAGTTTTACCTTTGTTGTACCCGCCTAATCTAGACAACATGAGGCAAATAAATGTAAACAAGGTTTCGGCTATAATGATAGCTGGTTATATTAAAAAATATTTTAAATCTTTTGTAATACAACGAGAGATATAACAACATTATTTCTTATATTGTAAATACAAATAAACAAAATTATGTTGTTTTATAAATCGTGTTTTCACTATTTCCATGAAACTAAGTTTTAGTACATGGAAAAGTTAAAATTGCAATTGTAGCGTTTTCAAAGTGTTCAAATTTGAATAAATTAATTGTCTGATTGAAATTTAAATAAACTGTAAGCAGAGATCAATGCTGTTTTCATTTTTAACTACTATATAAGTTTACATGCTTATAGTAAATACCAATCCTATTGCATTGTTCACAAGATGAATGCACGAAGAAATACATAGATGTTGTTTAAATAAGTCGCTATCTTTCAATTAAAATAGTTGTCGACATTGAACTTGTACACACCAGATTTTTAAGGAATATATTAGGAGTAAAAAAGTCAACAAATTTAGCAGCCCTCTATGGAGAACTCGGTTGGGTTCCAATGTTTGTTATGCGAAAATATAATATGATTAAGTATTGGAATACGCTAATAACTCTAGACAATGATAGTATCGTAAAGAAAGTATATAATAATTTGAAACTAGATGATCAAAATAATTTAACATATAAAAACAGAAATTGGGTATCTCAAATAAAACAAATTTTGAATGAACATGGTTTTGGATACGTTTGGCTGTCACAAAAACTTGATAATACAACACTTTCAATTGATAAAACAAAGAATATTTGATAACTATTACCAAAAATGGTATTCTGAAATAAACAACTCGAGCAAATTAAAAACATATGCAATTTTTAAACATGAATTCAAAAGAGAAAAATATCTTGATACTATTAAAGAAAATTACTTAAAAACAGCTTTAGCTAAATTCAGAGTCTCAGCACACCAATTAGCCATAGAAACGGGAAGATACACTAACATACCCCTAAATGAACGTCTTTGTAAGTCTTGTAACATGCAATCTATTGAAACATAATACCACTTTTTACTAGTTTGTCCAAAATATAGAACCATTAGAAGTAAATTTTTTAAAAGTTATTATTGTCACTGGCCTTCTTTAAACAAATTTGAAAATATCATGTGTTCGTCATCAAAAAATACTTTATATAACTTAGCAAAATTCATTTTTTCTGCAAATAAAATTCGTATTGTTTAAGGCACCATATTTTGATAATATTGTATTGAACTTATTCTCTATGTCTGTTTGTTAAGCTCTTGTTAATTGTTTAACTCATGTCTTATCCATTGGACAGGTATATATGTTTATATTGTTTATCTGCTATAAACATTGTATAATGTTTCAGGCAATAAAATTTGAAATTTGAAATTGGATTTCGACTACATGTATGTTTAAAATTAGTAAACATTAACCGTCAAATAAATGCACTTTTGTTTATTATTGAATATCTATTGTTATCGCATTGTTGTTAGACAAGGATATGACCATTAAATTTATCAAATAATTGACCCCTGATATTATGAAAGATAAACACATACAATACAATTCAAAGCGTTGTTTCATAAAAAGTGTTAATATTGTATTAATTTAAATTTACATTTAAAACAGTAATTCAACTTTTGACATTCAATTATCAACGGTTTTCCGAAAATTGAATCGTTAAGTTTGTTGACAGGGAATGAAATTTTATTGTACCCTCTTAACAATAGACAAAATTATGTAATATTTATGAATACATTAGCGCGGGTTTTTACACCTGTAAATTTTAAGTGTGCCACCCAATTAAAAACATATTTCTCTAGATTGTGTTTACGGAATTCGTCAAAATTGGCACTGGTTGTAGAATAAAGATGAACTGATTTTTTTTACTTTATTTATTGAATTATAATTCATTTCTGTAAAATATTCAAGTGCATTTGACAATAACAAAATATTAAAACATCACATACAGCTTATTTTTTTGCATTTACCTGTCTTTCATTTATCAGTTTAAGTAAAATTAGCTAGTATCTGGTATGCACCTTTACCTCATTTACAACACATTGGTAGAAACATTTGTGATGAATTTTAATCCACATTCTCCCGCCTTGAGCTCTCAGGGCCTGAATAGTCCAAAGAAAAGTTCAACTTTGAACAATAATTTCATTTATTATTATTTACGCATTTGTTAAAAAAGCTTATATAATGGTCGAACTGGTATGCATATTTTGAAATAAAAATTCTCAAAATTAATATATATAAACGATTGTGAGTATTTAATATTTCCAACATACTTTTTTAACTCTTCACTTAAAAATACCAAAGAAGTGCAATTAGGGCACTCCCTTCTTAATTAGCCCGACGGAAATACCTACTTGCACGACTGACAAACTTGTCTTTATTTTAAATGCACATACATGTATGTTTGAACTATACATGTATGCACGTGATTTATGTGCCTTTGTAATTGCACAAGAATCATTTGCAATTTAGCAGAGTTTGAATTAGCTACTCTAGCGCACATTTGATAATCAATACTGCATTTTAAGCATATATTATAGAATAATTTGTATCTATAATTTCGACAAATTTAATGTAGAAATAAAAACAAAGTTCGCATTTTATTCCACCAAGTATAGAAAATATCCGATTAATTATTTGAAAAAAAATTGTAATACAACTAAGTTGGCATTTATAAGATATTAATTTAAATTTTAAAAGAAGCCTTTGTCAAACATGTTTTACTTTTGAAAGAAAAAAAATGACATTTTGGCTGTGCTGTTTGTAAGTATATATTTGGATGGTTTAAGTCGAGTGTAAACAATGAATATAGTTGTTATATCAGATCATCTGTTTTGAAAATATACATGTCTTATTGCATTTTCACCTACTGTAATAACTAAATGAAAGTGGTTTCCTAGATATACAGCCAGACGGACAGACATCTTTTAATCTAGTTTACACACTCGATATCAAAATAACAATGTTTAACTGTTTACCCAAATGGTTTACTTATAATATGCAATGATAATACTATCATTGATATTTGATACACCAATAGTAAGAAGTAATATTTATTTTCTAAAAATAATAACAGATCTATTTTTATCCAAAGTTTAGGTTTTTCCAATTTATTTTAAAAACAATGTTCTCTATTTATATATAAGTATAAATTACTTGTAGATTTGAAGTACGTTCATTTTTATCAGGATCACATGTGAAGAAACGTTCTTATCTATTCTCTAATCAAATAAATTTTGAAGTTTATACATTAGAATACACGATACTTGACACAAATAAAATAAACTTAGTTGGTTTTACATGTTTTATTTTATGTTTTTGAAGCACAGAAGAAACAAACAAATAGAAGGTGTTTCTAACCGTCGTGATAAGGATATTCAAACAAAACTGACTGAAGTTCCATCAACAGATGAAATAACAAAGGCGGTTGTAAATGATGATATAGAAGATGGTAATATCTTTTTAAGGATTTACTTGTTGACGTTGATGAAAGTACTTTTGACGAACAAACAGGTACCATTATCAGTAAAATAGATATTTTTATCGATAGTAAGTACAGTAGTGCTGTGCCAGAAATTAGTAAAAAGATCATGTTACCGATGCTGCTTGTGATACAAATAGTTCACATTGTTATGTAAATAATTCAACAACAAAAAATAATAAGAAAACATGTTTTTTGCATACAGAACTGTTTTCAATCACGTTTGTAAAGATAGTACTGCTATGAAAGTTATTGGTACCATATTGATACAGTGCAGCTAAAGATAGCAATACTACATAGTTTACTGACTGTTTAGAAACCCAAAAATTTTAATCATTGCAAAAATTACAGGACTCCAAAAGCAATCAGATATATTCTGTGAACATATTAAGAAAGAAACGGTGAAAAAAATGTCGAGACAAAATACAAAGTGTCCAACCGTCGATAGAAAAGAAACAGATACCAATACCAATAGAAATAGTACAGGAAAAGGAAAAGGGGACACGAATGTAAGGAAAGGCAAAAGGAGTACAGAAACTGGCAGATCAATTAGTTTCGCAGATAGGGAAATTTCACATAAATCAAATAAGAGAAATCGAAATGAGGATAAGGACAACGTAAGCGAATCGCAACCTCTGAAAAAGAAGAAGAGTCCTGATGTTAATGAAACGTTTCCAGATGTTGCTAACATAGACAGGCAAAAATGTAATGAAGATTTACCTACATCAAACACAATTATACCTCTGAAAACGAAGACTTATAGTGAAGTTGTAAGAGTTAAGGAAACAGACGTTACCGATACAGAGACTCGTGGTGCAGTGAAAAGAAATCTTAATGAAAATGATAGTGAACATACCGATATTTGGAAAGTTGTGACGAAGCGTAGCAAGAGGGCCGCGCCTGATGACAAAACTCATATTCAGCAAACCTGTAAACAAACGTATAAAGAGAGACCCGTGAGCACAGAACATGTAGCAGATTTGGTAACAACTTATACCGTAAAGTATAGGAAATGGTCTATACCATGCCTTAAATGCCGAGCAGATATTTCTCAATCTGAAGAAACTCCAGACATATTCTTCCGGGACAGTGAACTAACTGTCACAAAACTAACAGGAAAAGATAATTTTGAAGCTCTTAAACTTTGTACAATATTTGACGATAGGTTTGTTCAAGAAAATAAGAACAGTTTTGAAATGTTTTGGAACCAAGTTCTTAATTATGTAAAAGATGAAAAACACATGATAGATTTGCATGGTATGAGTGAACTTATAGAGAATAACATGCTACTGTCTTTTGATATCAATTTTATCAGGCAAGGCTGATATGGGCTAGAAAGGGCGAGGCTTGCCGAGCCCTTTCTGCCCATATCAGCCGAGCCTGATAAAATTGATATCAAAAGACAGTAGCATGTTTTTCTATTTATCATGTAACACATAAAAACTGTCAAAATAACAAAATAATCTACTTTAAAATAGCGAATTTCGTAAAACAAGGGGATTATTGTTCAAAGAAGTAATTCTTGAAAACAAATTCCTCCGCCCCTGAAACTTAGAATTTGTAAATGGCGGCCATTTTTTCTTTCGACTCGGATAAAAGATACAACAGAATGTAGGCCTAACACGATAAAATTCTTACCTTTAATCTAAACTTCGATCCAAAAATTCCCTTAGAATCACATTTATAAACTTTACTGCACTTTTTGTCTTGAATTGACAAATTCAAAAGTTCACAATAATTTCAATCAAACAAAAGTCAAATCGGCAATCAAACACACGCTACACAAACATGCGTTTATTTTTAAACGAAACAATTTGTTCACGTATTAAATAATCCGGCGAAATAGGTAAACATTCACAAGTTCTCAAATAAAATCATCTAGCCTGTTTGTTATGATTACATGTACAATATAGTATGACGTGAACATTGATGATGTCATTTGCAATATAAATTATGACGTCACTTCATGTAGTTGGTGCTAAAACTATTCGCTATCTATTTTATTCGTAATTGAAATCGAAATCGAAATGATAAATAAATAAATATCGCATCTTGATTGAAGACTTGTAAGGGTATGAGATTACATTGAAGAATTCACATACTGATAAAAATGAGAATAAAGTTGAATAAATTGAAAAAAGTCCGTTAAAATGGGCGTGGCTTATTTTTGATATCAGGTTACTGACCTGAATAATAATAATCAGGCAAGTGTTATCGGGCAGTTACCATGGCAGTTGCATGATAAATCGCTAAAGCGGCCGTCGAATTTGCTGTGACAAGGGAAAGACACAATAACAAAGATTTACTTGGACGTGGTGTTGGTTCTAATAAAACACTGACAATCATAACTGGGCAGGGTAAACACAGCTCTGGTAGTGCAGTTTTGTGCAAAATAGTTAAAGAGCATCTTCAGTCACTGAAATGCAGAAGAGTCACGACACCACCAAACAATCCAGGTCTTTTTGAAGTTGATACTAGATATAAAATTTGATTGACATACATAGAAACTCAGTGCAGTGTCAGAAATGTGTTTTGTTTAATAATAAAAAAAACAAAAACAACAACAAACAAACAAAATAAAACAAAACAAAAAACACATAATTTATTTTTATTTTATGACTGCCTTAATTATTATAGTGCGAAACCTCTTGCAAATTTCTCAATTAACATTGAGACTGTCATTAAACATTGCTTGTTTCACTTTGCCTTGACCGCCTGTCACACTTTTTTCTCCTTTAAATGTCTCAGTTATGCTATAAAGTAAAAACACATTTGTTACTTTATATGTCTTTCAATTCTAAGACTGTTATTTTGTCTATAAATCAACTCACAAACAATTTTTTATTGTTGAAAGATACTGCTGTTTGTTGTTTTCTAATGCAGATGATTGTTTGGCTATGTGTGTGCGGTTATATGTAAGAGATGATAAAACGTAACAAATGTAAAGCGATAATTTGTATATACAGATAACTGGATATTTACAAGTACAGTAAATGGATATGAAAAATTGATGTGGATTTCATTTTTTGAATAAAACGATTTTTGTGGATTTCATGAACTGGTGTGAGTTTCATAGCTCGGAATTAAAGATCAATAAAGAGAACGGATTATGGTAACTAGTGTGAAAATAGCATCATCGATAGATAGTGTGAATATTATTATAATGTCACCAAATGTTCATTTTATGTCTTCGATTTAAATCATACTTACATTTAACACTTTTATTTATATAATTGTGGAGATTTGTAAACTGAATCTTTTTTTTTTAGATCTAATTGTTGACGTATCTCATTTAGACTATGAATTTCCCCCGGACTCAAATATGGTACTTTAGAGACTACTTGAATATGCCACTCTTATATCAAGGGAATTGTTACTAGCCAATTGTCATTCAGACGTAACGGTGTATTTATTTAACATGCAATATAAATGTTTTGATAGAATGTCATATAGTTGGTGTCACCTGGGTACTGTATTTATAGTCATCAAACAGATTGTGATTTAATGTTTGCGTTCGCAATTGCCATTTGGTTATTCAACGCGGAAAAAATGTTTTAATTTTTTACTATGTATGAAATTTGTATGACATGTACCTTTTATATTTTATGAACCAACAATAAAATAAAACAAATGTAACTATTGTTCTTTGAAGGACTCAACTGTAACTGAGGTTTCTGTAAAAGTACGTGTCTGAATATATTTTTTCAAGATATTTATTCCAGTTGGATATGTTTGTAAAATCAGCTTGGCAAACCATTGTTATAACGAATGTTTCCCTTGTTACCATTATTTTATCCTCTCTCGTTATTTTCAAGATTAAAGCGTAAAATTGTTAGATCAAATCGATTAAAATGTTTTCAATTATTGAAATTATCATTACAAAAAGCCTGTCAATTTGTATTTGATTAATATGTGTTTACTATATGCTCATATGTTAAATAAAAAATATCAATTTGAACCTTAAATGTGTACTTTGCTTCTTGTAGGACACATACGTTTTAAAACAAAATTTCTAAAAATGTGTGGCGAATGATCCCCAATCAAAAGACTGCTTGTGTCCTAACGAGAAAGTAATGGGTGAAATGTAATTAATTTTGAAGGGGGATCAGAGCGTTTTAAGCCTGCATATCGCTCATCCTCGTGGCGTGACCTGTATTCACATGTGAATCAATATTTTTCAAACTAATGAATATGAAATACAACATATTTTTCCCTAAATGATCACATTTTCATGAGAAGGAAAGCCTTTGGCGAAATCTAAACTTTAAGTTTTTGATCAAGACTAGCATCGAGTATAAAATTTCAAGGAAAGCAAATAAAGTTTTGAATTATTTACCATGATATATAAGTACCTAAAGTGTATAAATAATATTTAATGAGACACATAATTGTTAAAAGAAATGAAGTATTTCAACGTAATTTTAGTGTCGTTTTTGATGCATAATTGTATTTTATGATGAGTTTTATTACAGTGTAGAAAGCTTTATATTTGTCTGTCATCGTTGGTCAAATTGTGATTAAAGTAATAACAGGAAACATAGAATGAATGGAATTTTAGGAATTTTTCAGTATGTTAATGTATAATTGAACGGATACCTACTGGTAATAGCTATAGCGGAACGTTTTGTTCGGATCAAAACATTTTATTATATAAACGTTTAATATTCCTTTCTTTATATTACAAAGATATTCTATATTTTAAACATTTAAAGAAAACGAAATAGATTTGAAAAACGACCATAAGGTTATGAAAACAACATAATTGTACACGTAAATGGCTTTTTACAATGTTGCATTATGTTTAATTGCCTCATTATTAAGAGTGTAAATAATATATTTGTTTAGAATATAATGAATTTGTAAATTAGTGATAAGTAGGAAATAAACTTTATTCATTTGTATGTAGATATTTTCTTGTTTAATTGTTTAGTTGTTTTACATTGTATATGAAATAATAGTTATAAATGCAACACTTAGCTTATTTACATAAGCGTTGTTTTGTTTTAATGTTTTAAGAATTTGACCTTGCCAGTGTTTCTAAATTAAATATCTGATATTATATTCATAATCTTATTTGTTTTTCCAATCGTTAAAGGCGATTGGTGTATAATGGGAATTATTTCCACAAGTAATTCAAATATTTTTTAAAACAATAGAACTGTGTCTTTTTGATAGTGTTATAAAATATGTCTTACCGTCCATGGACAGGCTCAATCAAACCGAACCTGCAACATTTTTGGTCTTTCTCTATGGATTCTCATTTTCTCGTTTTTGGACAAAATATTGAAAGAGTTTAAAGTGATTAAATATAAACAGCTATGTTTTTTTATGTAGATATATATATATATATATATATATATATATATATATATATATATATATATATATATATATATATATATATATATATATATATATATATATATATATAAAATTATAATGTTTAAGAAATAACAAACTCTATGTAAATTCGGTAGCGCTTTCAATGCTTTCTTTGCATATCTTCAGCCGAAACTTTAATTAATAAACAATAAACATATAAACAAATGACGTAACGTCATGAAAAAAAGCGGGAACGTTAAATGATAACGTATTTCCCGGCAAACACAATATGGTTATTTAAAATATACTGAAAAATTATAATATTACGGACACAAGTTTAAATTTTAATTGCGCGAAACATTTTAAAGGAGAAAATGAAATGTTACGTGAGACACTATAAAGCTATATTGTGAAAGTAAAAAAACAAGAAATGTGCACAATTGCAAATTTGAACTCTACAAACCATACTCATAGCCTGAGATCTTCATAATCTGAACTCTGTAACGACTACGCTACTAGCATTTACGTGCCTATATCCACTTTTATTTTTCAATATTGCAATAAAAATGCAAGATGTAATGACTGAAAAACTTGAACATCTCATTATATTATAAAGGTACGACCGATTAATGTAAACATTATCGTGTTCGACTTATATGTTCCACTACCAAATTATACAAAAATGTAAAAATTGTTGAAGATAAACATGTGTACCTATAAAACCCGGTTTAAGTTAACTAAAGATATGATAATAATTTATAATAAATATTTAAAACGTGGCTTTCCTTATTATTACAAAAAAAGAATCATTTCACGTTACAGAAAGCTTTATATCGAACTAAACATTTATTTTATTTTTCACTTTACTGCACTCACTGACCTTGGATGTTTCAGTTCGAACATTTGTTGTATTAAGGAACTCTGAATAGTTATTTCAACACTTTATTTTCAAAACTTTATTTGTCTGAAAGTTTTATGAATGGATATAAAAATTGAAAAGTTTATAGGGACTTCACTGAGGTTAAAGAGTCTTAAAAATAAAATTAAAAAATCTTACAAAGATCTACTTGGGAACTTTAACAATAAAATATAAAATAAATAGGCAAAGATAGATAAGAAATAAACTAAGAAATAAGTTGAAAACAAAATAATTTAAGCTATCTTTAAATAACGCTTTTTATATTGGGTATTTTTACAAGACCTCGCACAATGACAAGTAACAGATAACCAAATTATCTCCTGATAATGGGTGTCACGAATGAAATTTCAGAACAATTAGGGCTAAAAGGTAAACATAGTAGTCAGATGAGGTAAAAATGATGTTGAAAAAACTATCCAGGAGACCCAAAGATGTGGTATGTTCGAATCCCAAATTATTCCGAAAATGATTATGTCACGGTATTGAACTGTTCTCTAATCAGGGGAGGTAGTTTGTAGGTGACCGGATAGCTTAGTCAGTAGAGCCGC